CTTAACCACCATGACACCTGTCGGCCCCCCATTGGTTTTAATGACTTGATTTTTGTCTAAATTTCTTCAGTGGTTGTGAAGTCATTCAGGAATCAGTTATTTAGTTTCTATGTATTTGTGTATTTTCAAGTGTTCTTCCTGTAGTTTATTTCAAGTTTGATTCCCTTGTGGTCAAAAAAGATGCTGGTTATTGTTTCTGTACATTTGAATTTTTAAAGGCCTGTATTGTGTCATATAATGTGGTTGATCATTGAAAATGTGCCATGCAGGGTGAGAAAAATGTGTATTTTGTGGTTGTTGAGAAATATTCTATAGGAGTCTGTCAAGTCCATTTGATTTATGATATTGCTTAGATCCTGTATCTCTTCATTTATTTTTTTGTGTAAATAATCTGTCCAGAAGAGACAGTAGGGTATTGAGATCCCCAATGATTAGTGTGTTGCAGTATATCTCTTCATTTATTTTTTTGTGTAAATAATCTGTCCAGAAGAGACAGTAGGGTATTGAGATCCCCAATGATTAGTGTGTTGCAGTATATCTCTTCATTTATTTTTTTGTGTAAATAATCTGTCCAGAAGAGACAGTAGGGTATTGAGATCCCCAATGATTAGTGTGTTGCAGTATATCTCTTCATTTATTTTTTTGTGTAAATAATCTGTCCAGAAGAGACAGTAGGGTATTGAGATCCCCAATGATTAGTGTGTTGCAGTATATCTCTTCATTTATTTTTTTGTGTAAATAATCTGTCCAGAAGAGACAGTAGGGTATTGAGATCCCCAATGATTAGTGTGTTGCAGTATATCTCTTCATTTATTTTTTTGTGTAAATAATCTGTCCAGAAGAGACAGTAGGGTATTGAGATCCCCAATGATTAGTGTGTTGCAGTATATCTCTTCATTTATTTTTTTGTGTAAATAATCTGTCCAGAAGAGACAGTAGGGTATTGAGATCCCCAATGATTAGTGTGTTGCAGTATATCTCTTCATTTATTTTTTTGTGTAAATAATCTGTCCAGAAGAGACAGTAGGGTATTGAGATCCCCAATGATTAGTGTGTTGCAGTATATCTCTTCATTTATTTTTTTGTGTAAATAATCTGTCCAGAAGAGACAGTAGGGTATTGAGATCCCCAATGATTAGTGTGTTGCAGTATATCTCTTCATTTATTTTTTTGTGTAAATAATCTGTCCAGAAGAGACAGTAGGGTATTGAGATCCCCAATGATTAGTGTGTTGCAGTATATCTCTTCATTTATTTTTTTGTGTAAATAATCTGTCCAGAAGAGACAGTAGGGTATTGAGATCCCCAATGATTAGTGTGTTGCAGTATATCTCTTCATTTATTTTTTTGTGTAAATAATCTGTCCAGAAGAGACAGTAGGGTATTGAGATCCCCAATGATTAGTGTGTTGCAGTATATCTCTTCATTTATTTTTTTGTGTAAATAATCTGTCCAGAAGAGACAGTAGGGTATTGAGATCCCCAATGATTAGTGTGTTGCAGTATATCTCTTCATTTATTTTTTTGTGTAAATAATCTGTCCAGAAGAGACAGTAGGGTATTGAGATCCCCAATGATTAGTGTGTTGCAGTATATCTCTTCATTTATTTTTTTGTGTAAATAATCTGTCCAGAAGAGACAGTAGGGTATTGAGATCCCCAATGATTAGTGTGTTGCAGTATATCTCTTCATTTATTTTTTTGTGTAAATAATCTGTCCAGAAGAGACAGTAGGGTATTGAGATCCCCAATGATTAGTGTGTTGCAGTATATCTCTTCATTTATTTTTTTGTGTAAATAATCTGTCCAGAAGAGACAGTAGGGTATTGAGATCCCCAATGATTAGTGTGTTGCAGTATATCTCTTCATTTATTTTTTTGTGTAAATAATCTGTCCAGAAGAGACAGTAGGGTATTGAGATCCCCAATGATTAGTGTGTTGCAGTATATCTCTTCATTTATTTTTTTGTGTAAATAATCTGTCCAGAAGAGACAGTAGGGTATTGAGATCCCCAATGATTAGTGTGTTGCAGTATATCTCTTCATTTATTTTTTTGTGTAAATAATCTGTCCAGAAGAGACAGTAGGGTATTGAGATCCCCAATGATTAGTGTGTTGCAGTATATCTCTTCATTTATTTTTTTGTGTAAATAATCTGTCCAGAAGAGACAGTAGGGTATTGAGATCCCCAATGATTAGTGTGTTGCAGTATATCTCTTCATTTATTTTTTTGTGTAAATAATCTGTCCAGAAGAGACAGTAGGGTATTGAGATCCCCAATGATTAGTGTGTTGCAGTATATCTCTTCATTTATTTTTTTGTGTAAATAATCTGTCCAGAAGAGACAGTAGGGTATTGAGATCCCCAATGATTAGTGTGTTGCAGTATATCTCTTCATTTATTTTTTTGTGTAAATAATCTGTCCAGAAGAGACAGTAGGGTATTGAGATCCCCAATGATTAGTGTGTTGCAGTATATCTCTTCATTTATTTTTTTGTGTAAATAATCTGTCCAGAAGAGACAGTAGGGTATTGAGATCCCCAATGATTAGTGTGTTGCAGTATATCTCTTCATTTATTTTTTTGTGTAAATAATCTGTCCAGAAGAGACAGTAGGGTATTGAGATCCCCAATGATTAGTGTGTTGCAGTATATCTCTTCATTTATTTTTTTGTGTAAATAATCTGTCCAGAAGAGACAGTAGGGTATTGAGATCCCCAATGATTAGTGTGTTGCAGTATATCTCTTCATTTATTTTTTTGTGTAAATAATCTGTCCAGAAGAGACAGTAGGGTATTGAGATCCCCAATGATTAGTGTGTTGCAGTATATCTCTTCATTTATATCTATCAGTATTTTTTTTCATGTGTTTGGATGCTCCAGTGTTGGGTGTGCAAGAGTAATTTGTAAGTGTTACATCTTCTTGGTGAATATCTCTTGCTAGTCCTTCACTTTAAGTCTATGTCCATCTTTATCAGTGAGATGTCTTTCTTGTAAGAGGTATCTAGAGAACTTTTTCTGTATTATTTAGCCAGTCTTTGTCTTTTACCTAGAGAATTTAACCCATTAACATTCAATGTTATTATCAATATCCCTGCCATTTTGTTAGCCACTATCTTAGTTGTTTTATGTTCTTTTGTTTCTATTTGTCTCTCTATAGTTTCCTGATATACTACTCCCTTCAGTACTTATTGAAAGCTGATCTAGTGTTGGTAAATTCTTTCAGTTTTTATTTGTTTTAGAATGATTTCATTTCCTTCTTCCCATTTGAAGGATAATCTTGTCAAATATAGTACTCTTATTTGAAATTGTTTTTCTTTCAGCATTTTGAAAATGTCTTCCTATTCTTTCTTTGCATTGACTCAGTTGAAAGATCGGATGTAAGTCTATTAGGATAAACTGTGTAAATAACTTGATATTTGTCTCTTGCTATTTTTTGTATACTTCTTTGTCTTTACTATGAAGTACTGTGGGGAGATCTTATGTTGATTCTATAATATTCAGTGTTCTTTACATTTTCTGTATCTGGATTTCTGAATGTTTCTCTATGTTTGGAAAGTTTTCAACAAGAATTTCTTTTTTTTCTTTTTTCCCAAAGAGATTTTTGCTATGGGGTGCATGTACTCATCAGAAAGGCAGAGAAAAAGTAAGAAATTACCTCCTAGTGGAATGGCCACGCTAAAATCTTTTCTCATCCATTCTCTTATTGGGATATTGGGCATACATGCATATGTACCTGGTGTGTTTCAAGCCACCAGGTCCAGATCAAAATGCGATCAACCACGTGGGAGTCCCACAATGTAATCATTATCTTGTACGCTGTCCTTACACTTTTTTTTTCATTGTTTTTGGTGGTTTTGACTAATTCAGAGGCTTTGTCCTTCAGGTCATGGATTCTGTCTTCTGTATGGTCTAATCTGCTATTAATGTTTTTGAAGGAGATTTCAATTTCTTGTATTATAGTCTTCATCTCCAGAAGTTATGCTTAATTCTTTTAGGGTGTCTATCTCTTTATGGAATTCCACCATTGAGTTGTGGAATGATTTCCTCATCTGCTGGAATTAGTTGTCTGTCTTCTCTTATATATTGGTTGTCTGTTTAGTTACAATGAAGATTCGGATTTTTTTTTTCTGACTTTTCTGTGACTTCTGGTATCTTACCCATTGCTGATGATAGAATTAATGTGTTCTTTTGTGGGAGAGAAATTTCCAGTTTTCTCATACTTTGGGGATTCTTCTTTGGTTTTTAGGCATCTGTTGTAGTATGCACTTTTTTTTAAAAATTAAATAAGTTTCTGTAGCTGTTTCCTACAGTGTATGTTGGCTGCCTGCCAGTTTCTCTATTCTTTTGTGAGAGAGTGTTAAAATCCAAGCTAGGAGTTTGGGGGGTTTGACTTTAAAGAGGAGAGATTTTCTTATTTAATTTCTCCAATAGGAAGGAATGGGGAATAATTTTGCCATAGTCTCACTATATTAGAGCAGTGTATCTTCTCTCAGTCTCTCTCTTCATAAAGAAGACAGGACTGAGTAGAACAGGCATAACACAAGGAAGACACAAAAGTCACACATCTTGGTGCATGGGCTTTGGAGAGGGCTTTCCTTGTGCCCACTTGTGGGGTGGGGGTGGAGGTTGAGTCAGAGAATAGCCAATTAGCTGCCTTTAAGTTCTGCTTGTTCCCTCCTGCCAGACTGTTGGGGTACTGGAGACAAAATCAGCTATGTGAGAAACTTAGGAGTGGGTTTTCCTTGTGCCCACCTGCAGGATGAAAGAGGGTCAGAGAGCTGATTCAGAGCACAGCAGGCTAGCTGCCTCTAAATCCTGCCTGCTCCTGTGTTATTCTACAAATTTCATTGAAGTGGGAAGAGTCAGAACTCACTGTTAGGGAAAAAAAATCCAGAATAAGTTTTAATGGAACCAAATATAAACAATGCATCAAACATTCCTTGAAATATTAATGGTTTCTTCTTTTGATTTTGCTATTGCTTTTCTTATTGTGGAGGACTCACCTGGTACTTTGATTGCAAACGTGCTGTAAAATGCAACAGAAAATTCAAAGAGAACTCTATAATCTTTGTGTTTTTAAAATGTGGAACAAAATATTGTAGAGGTAAACTAAGCATGAGCAAATAGTGCTGAAACCTTTTTTCAAACATAGCTATCTGAATTCTGTTCTAAGTAGCAGAATGAGATTCCTTATTAGCAGTAAAGATATTGATAAGGCTTCAGGAATTTTATACCTATTTACATAGTAACTACCTCAGTTGAAATATTTGCAAGGTCTTCTTGCAATTGAATTGAAAGATTTTGCTAATTTATATTGACAGATTTCTAGGGACATGATTGGTAATGAAGAAGATAATTTTAAACTTGATCCAAATTTATTAATGGAAATGTAATTATCCAAGGTTATGAATTTAGCTAATTAGTTCACTAGTTGCTCAGTCGATTGATTAATATTTGAATTCAGTGAAGACATATACAAAAAAAAGTTTAAATAACAAAAATTCTTTAGAAATACTTAAAGTTAAATCTCAAAAACTTACAAAGATAGAAATTTGAAATGGATTTATTAAAGGTCACTTGCTTACTTACTCTTCACTATGGACCTCTGGGAACCCAACACTTTTTTTTTTTGAGAGGTTTTTGCTATAGGGCGCGTGCGCTCGCCAGACAGAGAGAGACAGAGAGACAGAAAGCAGGAAATCACCCCCCAGGGGGGATGGCCACGCCACAATCCCTTCTCCTCCACTCTCCTCTCGGGATCCCGGGCACGCACGCACGCATACGCGCCCGGCGTGAGTTTAAGCCACCGGGTCCGGGACTCGAACGCGGTCGACTACGTGGGAGTCCAGCGACATAGCCATTACGCTAACTGCTGGTCCTGAACCCAACACTTTTTAGTTAATTAGTCGTTGAGAAATATATGCTTGGAAAGAAAGAGCTGTAGAAGTTACCCTTTGAAAGATGGGGCAGAGGGTCAGGGATGGGTGGCATATGGCATGGAGGTTAAGAAGGCTGGATTCCAAATGACTAACTGTGTAGTTTGAGTCCTGTACCTGGCAGCTTGAAAAACACACCAGGCATGTGTACATGCATGTTTGAAGTCCCTAGAGGAGAGTGTCAAAGAAGAGATTTTTTTTGTGGCCATATCCTCTGGGAGGGGATGGGTGATTTTTTACTTTTTCTCTCTCTTGTTCTGTCTATCTCTCTCTGGCAAGTGCAAGCACCTATAGTAAACCAAACCAAACAAAGAAATAAATGAAATGAAAGAAAGATGGAGGAAAGACTGGCTCTGAATCAATTCTCTGGTATTAGTGGAAATGATGACATTCTGAATTGTAAGAGGTCCACAGGCGTTACTTAAACTCCGGTGTCATTTGGTCACAGTTATTTCACAGGCAGCAGGACTAAAAAGAGAATCAGGATAATCGACCCTGAGAGACCTTGGATAATTGGGTAAATAATCATGGAAATATGTCTTTAGTATCTTCTATTATATCATCCAATCTACTTTTTCCCCTTCTATACATTATTCCATGATCTTTGAGATGCTCTCCTTTATGAAATTCTTGACTATACAGTTGTCTTCTAATTGGTTTACAAAAGAAAATCGGAGGGTGCAAAAAGAGAGATTTAAATTTGGTTCTCTTGGTTCTGTCTCTGATTACCAGTGGATTGCCACTATCTGAAAACTTTTTATTTATTTATTTAATTCAACAGAGAACTTTACATTTTTCCATCTGTCAAATGTTTCCTCCCCCTGCACCTTTAAGAAGCACTCTCCCTCCTTACAGTCTCTAACACCCACACCCATCCTATCCACTATCACATCTTCATAGATCTGAATCTCTGCCATAGCACTCAGTACAAAATGAGTGGAGATATACAATGTGTATCTTTCCAAGTTTGACTCACTTTGCTCAATATTAAGTTTTCTATACTCCTCCATTTTGAATCAAATGATAGGCTCCCATTTAATTGAAAAACACAAAATAATGGCTGCCCTCTTTAGACTAGTCCCTTAAGTAAAAGGTATCTGGTGATATAATTTAACTGTAAGAGTCAGTTGAATTACATTTCCATAACAAGCCCCACACAGAGTGACTATTAGGATATTTTGGACCTATGGTAGATTTGTGGTAGAGTTTAATTAATCAAGCATTTCCAAGCAATGAAATAAGTGAACCATGGGTAAATAACATATATAAACTAAAAATTCTATATCTAGTGGAAAGAAATCCAACTTTATAGCCTCTATTCAATTCAAAGACAGACTCAATTGCTAGAAGTAGAATTTCTTGATTGCGAGGGACACCACAATAGAATTTTCCTCAAAGTTTACCCAGGGTGACCTGTCAATATTTTCCAATGTTTGGAAAGAGAAACACCTAAAAATTCTGAAGATAATTAGACACTAACTCTGAATTTACACTAATCCCTGAAATTTCAAAAGAAACATGATCTCCCAATTAATGTTGTGGTGTATAATGGTCACATAATAAATTGAGTTGGCAGAAAAAGACCACCCATAGGAATAAAATAATCTATTTACCAAGTGTTTGGTGTAACTATCCAATAGCAATAGCAAATTAATAAACCGTTGGCACCTGATATGTAGATATTGACTTAGAAATGGTTTTATCTTATCCAAATAATTAGAATTAATAAAAATATCATAGACATAGCAGGAAGAGCAGCATACTTTCAATATCTTACCTTACAATGATATCAATTCTCTTGCCATCTAATATAGTTCAGAAAGATAGTGATTATTTTGATATCCTATGGAACACCATGTCTCCAATATATTGATATCATTATGTTAATTATGTGAGGTTAGTATAAAATAGAAATGACCACAAATATCTTAAAATGCAAGCATGAGAGCCAGGAAATGGCATGGTGGTTAAAGTGCTAGACTCCCACATCACCAAGTTCAGTAAGTTCAGGACCTGGTGGGCTGAAAATTACATCAGGCACATGTGCATGCATGCCCAAAGTCCCAGGGGGAAAATGCAGGAAAAGGGAGTGCAGCATGGCCATCCCCCCAGAAGGTGATTTCTCACTTTCCCTCTCACTGTTTCTCTCTGTATCTCGTCAGTGAGCATACGAGCCCTATCGCAAAAACCTTAAAAAATATATATATGTAAGCATGAGAGAAGATGTGCAATAAATCCCACAAAAATGTTAAACATCAATGAAATATCGAGGTGCTTTTGGTCCGAGGCTTGTTAGTAGTCCCCTCTAAAGCGAGAGAAAGATTGAAGTACGTTACACTGTATAATAAAGAATCCCAATATTTTTTAGGCCTCTTTGGATTTTGAAAGTAACATACAACATACTTGAGTTTACATTACCCTTCATTTACTGAAAAACACACGTGGTTGCCAGATTTAAGTTGGGCCCTAGATAGGAGAAGATTATTAATGAATTCAGACTCAAACATGCTGTGCTCTCACTTGAGCCTTATAACCAAGCAGACCAAGAGGTAATGAAATATTGAATATCATGTGGTACCTTCTACTAACCCCAGAGAAGAACTACAGTGCATAATTGCCTCAAGGTTTTGTAGTAATATCAGGACTTTTTCTGCTAAGGACTAGTCTCTGTCTAAATATTCAGTCCCTGGTTTACTTCTGAACCTCAGCAAATAATAAATATTGTACCCAAGGAAGAGATTTATACATCATGAATGAAGTATGATTTGATCCATATGCAGAAATATATAATTTTTAAAATAAACATATTGTATGTGGAATGAAACCTAGGATGTTAGAAGGTGAAAACTTGCTTAAACAGGATGCTCAGAATCTCTGTCCTGACTGCTTAATTGTCATAAACGTATCCACACCTAAGATTTTATAGAAGCCTTACCCAGGGCAGAAAAAAGTGTGGTCTGTCTTACTGGGGGTAAAAACAGTGGGGTTGTTTTTATTGTTGTTTGTTTGTTTTTTGCATGATGTTATGGTACCAGTCAAAAGTTGATGGCTACTGCATACTAGAGCTCCTCAGGGTTGACCCCGAATGACAACAATGAAATAAATCCTCCCAGTCAGTCTGCCTGTCGACAGTTCATGTTAAGAGAGATGGCCCAAAGAATTGATTTACACTTAGACTATTTCTTCAGCAACATCCAACATTTTGTAAGCCTTGAAATGACCGTAAATTCATCTCTGCTCAAATCTTTCCAAGAGAATTCCAATTTCTGCAACTGAACACTGTCCAAAAAGTTTTACTAACATTTTATTATTTGACTACATATTATCTTCCATGATTTTAAAATCATTACAGTCGAGTGGCAGATATAAAGGACCCTTGTTTTAGTTTGCGTTTAGTATCACTGAGCTAAAGCCATCGCCATCTCTCTAGAGAGGTAGGGCTGTTACAATATACCTTGGAAAATCAATTTCCTTTTAAAAATAATGTCTCACACCTTAAGAATAAATGGAAAGTTACATTTGACAATTCAGATGGTGTCTTCTGGTTAAACACTATCTTTTGATAAATAAATCAACTGGCCTGGGTGAGTGACTGAGATATTGAGATGAGTATTACTTTGGAAAGAACATTAACTTTGCTTCTTAAATTTAAAAGCCAATATTGAGCTTTGTCTAGCTCTCCTGATGAATAAATTACCCTTGAGAAAGTAGCAGCAATTGATACACACCTGATTTGACCAAAGAAGCAGTAAACTATAAAATAAATAATATAAAGGTTTTGTTTTCTGGGAACCTTTCAGCCAAGTACGCCTCTTTTGTAAATGTCAGTACAAAACATGTAAATAGTGACATTTAATCTATTTCTTTTAAAAAAATGTGTCTTTGAAAGGTTGAAGGTTTTATCTAGAGTATATGATGACAGTTCTGAAATTAATTGTTTATTATACTTTTTCAGGCTATGATAAATAATTCTATAATAACATAGCATAATAATAATATCTATTAGTATTTAGCAAGTCTGCTTTGTAACTGGCTCTCTATTAGGTTCTTCAGATGATCTGAATAACTGCAAAATTGCAGAGATAAAATCTGAAGCTGGTTTGACTCCAAAACTTGCCATTTCTTTTAGTGTTCCTGAAATAAAATTGAGTGGAAATACATTTGAAAGGACATTTAATAACAAAAAAAGTCATCAAAGGTACTGATTTAATGCAGAAAAGTACTATATCATTTATGCTACTTACGTGACTTCATGATATTAGGATGATAAACTATAAGGACAGTGTAGTTTTCTCATATTTATTTCCAGCTCTGGGATAAGTTGTCATGAATACCCATGAATGAAATTCAAGTCTCTGCTTGCTTCATATCTGCTACCACCCCACTGGTCCAGTCAAATATGTCAAAGGCCAAACTCAATTGGTAAGAAGGTACGCTTTAACTATGATGAGTTAATGACAAGCGCATAGAAGAATCTTTTACAACAGAGTGAAAAATTAGGACCAATAATTTAATCTACCACAAAGTGACCTATTTTCATGATTGTTAGGGCAGCACAAACTGTTTTTTAGAGCAACTCAGACCAGATATCAAAGCAAATGCTCAGATCCAAATGATGCATTAAATGAATCCTGTACTTTGGGCAATCCTTTTTTCATTTGTAAAATAGAAATAATAATAATCCTAAACTCATAAGGTTTATATTTAGAATTTTTAATTAAAAAAACCTTACTTGCATAAAGCAACTGTTTGACAGTTGGGTGACATATGTGTTCACTGCAGAGAGACAGATAAGAGAGAAGGCAAGTAAGAAAGCACCACCCTCTTCCTCCAATAAGGAATGGTCATGCTGAAGTCTGTTCTCCATTTCTCCCTTCTGTGGGATTTTGGGCATGCACACACATGCACATGGAATGTTTTTCAAGCCCCTTGGTCTGAGACTCAAGCCATCCAGTTGGCCATTGCGTAATCCAGCTGCCCCAACCACCAGGTCATGAACTGGCCTGCATAAAATAATTTTTTAACACAATACACGGAATAATGTTCAAGGTGACTAGCTAACACACACCTACTGAAATAAACAAAAGAACAAAACCAGTCAGTTAGCTCTTTTTCAGATATATGTCACTGGGTATAAAAATGATTAGGTGCGAGATGCATCCATTCAGTTTATTTTGATTTGTTATTGTAGGAGTATAACTTCACCACTTTTAATCACGTTGGGCAAATTGAATAGCAGGATCCTTGTGAATGTAATATAGTATATTTAAATAAAATAAAAACGTAGCAGGGAATATTCCTTCATCTGTTCCTTGTCTCATTTGGGAGGCTGTTTTGCCTTACCCTTTGACTGAATTAATTTCAGTTGTAAAGTAAGGTTACTTTTGGTATAAGCATCTGTCTTTGCAATCTCTGGAAAAGAAACAATCAAAACTGATTAAGAAATTCTTTATAATACCACAGAGATATAATTTCAAATTCATTACTAATTAAATAAAGCAAATGATTAAAAACTGTCAGGCTGGCAAAATCAGTATGGCTGACAAAAAGAGAGCCGCAGACTTATTTCACTTAGTATAGCATCTTAGAGTTTATACATGTTGTTGTATATGGCAGGATTTCTTTATTTTTTTAAGCCTATCAATTTATTCAATGAGAAAGAGAAACAGAGAGAGAAGCAGAGAGACACAGACTCCCAATAGGTCCACACACTGTGTTCCTTCTCCAGTGTCAACCAGTCCAGACCATGGGTATGCTCAGGTATACCCAGCATGCACTGGGAGGGCCCAGGACACAAACCTAACATCATCCAATGTAAATCTATTATAGTTGTGTTACTGCTGTACCACTGCCTGACCCAGGATTTCTTTCTTTTTAAAAGATAAATAATATCCTACTGCATGTTTATACCATATTTCCTTATCCATTCATCTTTCAGTAGACAGGTAGGTGGCACCATTTGTAACATTTTATATTCCCACCCAGCATACAAGATTTCAGATTTCTCCAC